TTTGAAAGACTTCATGTTCATGTATATTAACTAACCTTGCAATGCGGGGATAACGTTATGTTGATATACAATATTTATTATTTAATCGTATCTTATTATCCCAATTCCCACCAGACAACAGATGATAATAGCCATAAAAAAGCTTTTTTTTATTTAGTAACCTGTTGTTATCATTATTTGAATTGTTCAAAACAAGATGAAATAAAATGGAATGTATTTCATTCAGTTCTATTGAATATATCTCTTTTTAGTCCAATTGTGAGTCATGCGATAGAATGAAATAAATTGAATTTATTATTTATTATTCTCTTTATCTTTCTATCATCATTTTAAAGAAAGAAATGAAAATTTTACTTCGTTATATCATAAAATATCTAAATATTAATATTATAAAATTCTATTTCATATCACTCCATTCCATTTCTCCTTTTTATCTTGTTCTATTTAATATTAAATTTAGAATATTTTTTTTGGAGTTAACACAACCTTAATTATTCCTTTGAGGCGAGTTTGCTTCTTGGTATCTCTATAAACTTCGTCTCTTTCAGTCAGCTATGAAATTAATCCGGAGTGCGAAACAGGTCAGGTGAAGATATTTAAACACCTCCCAAAAGTAGCATGTAGAGATCGAACCGAATCCCTTTCCTTTTCACTTACTCAGCTCCCTTGCTACCAACTGAGCTACCGTCATTTGGTCAAAACATACTCTTTAGAAATACATTTCATGCAAAGGCGCGCAATAGCTTGTTTTTTCCCATTTCATCAAAATATTTTCGGAATTCTCAATCAGTTAACCTCACAATCAACAATTTACATGTGATTTTGGTAAGTTGGGTCCTTTTGAAAAATGGATCAAAGTACATTTAAGGACATTATGTATGTCATTTTGTGGGATAAATTTCACTTTTTCCACTGACCCATCAATAATTGTGATTCATTTTCCTTTTTTTTATATATTTTAAAAATAGTGGATCCCATGTTGATTGTCTCTATAGCATAACATAACAATTTTTCTGCAACATTATATTTGTTTTTTCCTACATTTAATTGGTTGAGAACCTGAAGAAAAGAAGATAAATGAATTAAAAGGTAGACAAAAAGAATCTCTATTTAAATAACGAGATGCATAATATTCAACATAAGTATATAACAATGTAATTATTATTTAAAAAATTATATAATTTGATATTGTAGCGGATGCTACGAGAAATAAAGACCGGTAGAGGAAGAAAGAATGTGATAGGAGAAGGAAGAGAAAACTAGAGAGATAAGAGTTTTCCTGCAATTTCCTAATACCAATTTCGTTACTTTTACTCCACTATATAACGCCTGTTACAAACAGGGAACTAACACAAAGTAGTAAAATATTAGGAGAAAATAAAAGAATTAAAATAAGGACACTACGCTTACCAAAAATAATAATAATAATAAGGACACTACTATAGTACTAATTGTGTTGATGCCATTTCCGTAACATTCAATCCCCCTTCAAACCAACCTCATCCTCGAGGTTGAGTTATAACAATGGGAAATATTACTCTTCTTTTACATAAAGTAACTTATCTCATTTTCTTTCACTTCGATTTCCGTACCTTTTTCTTTTTCTTTTTCTTTTTTCTTGTAATGGTGGAACCCACTCAATTTCTCTCTACAAAACAAGATACCTATCTTATGTAAAAGTAGATTAATAAAACCCTATAACAATACGAGGATCAAACGACATGTTCTTCTTTATATCAAAATCTTATTGAATGAAACCAACTTCAACAATGGCACCTTTGCTCTCTTCGCCAATGGGGAGATTCCAAAATTCTCCTGAAGCTGCATAAGCGTTAGACAATAGGACAATGGCGGAGCCGGCTCAAATTTGAGTCCGGGCCAAAAAAATTATACGTGTATTTATTTTTCTTAATTTCAATTAGTTCATATCATAATATATTTAAATTGGGAAATGATCTGTTTACAAACATTTTTTAAATTTTTTTGTAAATTATACTATATACTCCCAGAAGTACATAGTATAACTTTTCTAGGAAGTACATAGTGTAGTTTGTAAACAAAAAATTTGTAAATATAACTCTTCTCATTTAAATTATATTAAATACAGAGCCAGGCCGTACCAAGAAGAATTATAATTTTACTAATTTTTTTTTTTAATTTTATACAAGTAAAAATTGAACACATAACCTAATACAACTTACCCAAATCTCTTACCAAAAATATTTTAAGTTTTAGATAGGGGGCCAAATTATAAATTGTAGCTCGGGTCAAATTATAATTTTAATCTGGATTAAATTATAATTAATTATATATAATAAGTATAATTTGTTAAAATTCAATTCGGGCCGAGACCACACCCAGAAAATATGTGGCTCCGCCGCTGCAATAGGATATTAGACAGTAGGACATGAATGCTAGAGCATATAGGAGCCAACTCTGTTGAGATATATAGTCCCACATTGATTGGATGAGCAACTAATATGGCCTTTATAAGGCCTTGGGCACTCCTATCCCTAGTCCCACATTGATACCAGATACACCACCCCAAAAGCTAGCTCTAGGGGTAGGAGTGCCCAAAGCCTTATAAAGACCATATTAGTTGCCCATCCAATCAATGTGAAACTATATATCTCAACAAACTCAAAAACCATCTTAGCCACACACAGGATGACAATTCAATATTCTCATACAATCTACGCCCAGGCAATGAGTTCCCCCAATTTAATTATGTGTGATCGCGGCATGTTTCCCTAATCACCATAACTAGATCATGCAATATACCATATAACTTGAACCCAACATCACTAAAAAAAACCATACTCATTGGCTAGTCAAATATATCTGCCTCTGCTTCAATACCCAGTAGTTGTCTTCCATTTGCAAATGAGCTTGCTTCTTGCTTGTGAACAGAGACTAAGCTGACCATATCAGATTTATGGAAGGGAGTTGGATGATCCATATTGAAATCCCTTAGAACAAGCTCAATGCCAATACATTTAGCTAAAACATAGAAAAAAAGTGTCAGACAAACGATGTGTTTTCTATGAACATTAAATAAAATTGTCCAAAATAACATTAGATATTTTTTTCCTGAGAATTTTTATTTTTTATTGGTTGAGAAAGAAGATATAGCCATACAGGATGTGGGGATTCTAGGGATCGATGCATGGACCAAGGCATACAACTATAACCTCTCATATCATTGTTTGTCGCTCCTTTCATTTATTCTTATTTTTAATTTTTGGTTAGAGAGATGTGATCGAAAATGACAAAAGGAATGCATGTGTATCTAACATCAGAAAATAATTTGAATAATATTAACCAGTAAAATTCACAATATTTAGATAAAGCTAAATATTTGTTGTTTGCTAAAGTTAATGATTTATTTTTCAAGTATGCACATTAGCATGGTGATGGTTGGCCAACGACAATGGTGATCTGTGGCGGTACGGTTAGCCAGTGAAAATAATAATGGTCAGTAATAGTGGCGTCACAATTACTTTTTAGAAAAAAGAGTTTTCCATATTATCTTATTAAATGCTAATCCAGTGTTGGGTGTGTTTAGGGTGTATTAGGTGTGCGATTCGATTCCCTGTAATGTCAAAAAAAAATTAAATGCTAATCCAAGTACCTCTTAGACTAACTTATCAAGACGATGATAGGATAAAATAAGTAAATATGATAAATTTATTATATTCACAATATTAATATTGCCCACTGAACAGATAATAAAATACAGGTCTCATACCTCAAAAAGAGTTGATATTGAATTCCTTAACTAATCGTAAAAATTAATATCAAATTAATTTTCAATCATACAAAATAAATTTAATTTACTCTTTAAATTATAAATTCTATTAATGGTAATCTAATGGTTCATGTGCAGAAAAATAATTTTGATATTGTTTTATTTTTTAAATTTAGAAATTAAAAAAGAATATTTGCCCTTCAATAATTAACATCGAAAGTTCTTACTGTTTTCAACGTATGTAAACCTGAAACGCAATTTAAGAATGTTTTATCGCATTCACAACATAAATAAAACGAAGAATAAGAAGTAGTGTTAGTATTTGGGCCGGACTGGGGTGCCTGACAAAACAGAGTTCAAGATAATGGACTAATAATTGGATCCAATATCTAATAATACTAGAGCAGTCTCAATTTGAGTCTATTACATTAACATGCCAAAGATAATTTCGGTCTGTATTTAGGAAAGTGGGCCTACTGGCGTTAAGAAGAAGGGAACATTAAATTCTTTAGCGAGGAATTTGGTAAGAACAAAAGTACATGACAAGGAATTGGATTGTGCGTTCCTCCCTCCCTAAACAGAAAGCGATTTCTGGTATATGCTATTAATGCTAATTCTGAAGAACCGCCTTTGATGAATTTCTGTCTTAGGAGTTAGAACATTAACCAAACATTTAAACATGGGGGTATAGCGTGATCTCCTAAGGTTTCGTTGCGCCGCAGATCTTCTTCCTAGCATTTATGTCTTGACACTATTGAGTAACATATAATAGTCTTCCTTGAGATGGAAAGGCTTGAATTCGCAGAGTCCTTTGGCATGCGTGGCAGGGGAGGGAGGAACAATCAATGGAACCGACTGATAGATGATGATAAGGAGTGATATGGAGACCTCAATCTCACCAAATCTTGTAATTGAATCATGACCATAACTCTCTGAGAACCAAACAAACCAGTTAGGCAAGTTGTGACCTCATACTTACTTAACATAAACAACGCTAATTTTGTACCTTGTGGGATGCATTATATTATTATATACATATATGAATAGCAAAAGGGGAGAAAATATCTTCCTATTTTACAAATTGAATTTTAACGGTGAGAAAAAAACCATCCATTTCAACCACGTACGCAGATGCCAAGTCAGCAGGAATTAATGAAAATTATCATCCACGTGCCAAATCAGGATAGGTCGGCTCACGGCAGCCTTAAATGAAACATCACTTAAACAGTTATAAATACAGAGAGAGGGAGAGCATGTGTGGTAAAGAGGCGCATACAGAGGTTGCTGCTACTGGGGAGATAAGATATTGTATTGCTCAAGTGAACAATGGCCTCTGCTTCTGCTACTTTGCTCAAGTCATCCCCTGTTCTTGACAAGTGTGAATGGGTGAAGGGCCAGACCCTGCGCCAGCCATCATCATCAGCGTCTGTTGTAAGATGCAACTCCACCACCAACCCATCAACCCTCACCATCCGAGCTGGTTCCTATGCTGACGAGCTCGTCAAGACCGCGGTATGTTAATTATTACATCTCATAATTAATCCAACTTACTTCTCCAAACAAGCATGCAACAAGTTTTTTCCACACTTAATAATCCATTTTATCTGTCACACTGTTCATAACTAGTACTTAGCCACGCGTTTGAAACAAGTTTTGTTAGCTTAAATGTACTCTATTTGATGAGACCATCCTTATTTACCCACTAATTAACGGTTTTCACATTGTCGGTCGGTGAGATGAGATATTTCTCTAAAAATAAAATATTCTCTCCTCTGTATGGTTATACTTAATTATATGTGAGTACAGAAAACAGTGGCCTCACCAGGGCGAGGTATTCTGGCGATGGATGAGTCAAATGCAACATGCGGGAAGCGTTTGGCCTCAATTGGGCTGGAGAACACCGAATCTAACAGGCAGGCATACCGTTCACTCCTTGTGACAGCTCCTGGTCTTGGTCAGTACATCTCTGGTGCCATTCTCTTTGAAGAAACTCTCTACCAATCCACTATTGATGGCAAGAAGATTGTCGATATCCTTGTCGACCAGAAGATTGTTCCTGGTATCAAGGTCGATAAGGTAAGCTATGTCGAAATCATACTTCACCCTTCCAACTTCAAGTACCTCTCAACTTCATACTTCACATATGCTATAGTTACTGTAAGTAACTATGTATGTATGTAACATATTCGGAAAATAGCATATATTTAGTAGCTTATGCAGGCAGTTGAAGAGTGATGAGAATTTCAAAGACTCTACCATAATTGAAAAAAAATAAAAAAATATACTTTTTAAAATCTATTTGGTACCTTCTGTATTTGCAATACATGTATATGAAAGATTATGCAGTGAACTGATTATATCATGTCCATTAAGCATCCAGTTAAATGCAACATATAGGTAAGAGTCATATAGAAGTGCACACTCACGAAGTACAATCTTTCTCTACTTTTAACTTTCATATCAAAGTAAATGAGGGAGAGGGAGCTTTTATGGCAGTGTATATGTTAACACGTGGCTCATGTGCTGGGAACAATAGGGTTTGGTGCCACTAGCTGGTTCCAACGATGAGTCATGGTGCCAAGGTCTGGATGGTCTTGCCTCTCGCACAGCTGCATACTACCAGCAAGGTGCCCGTTTCGCCAAATGGTGAGTGTGTATCCTCATGTTTCTCATAAAAATCATAATATCATGTCCATTTTTACATCTTAACTAAAGTTTTATGTAATTGGTTAATTATATAGGCGTACTGTTGTGAGCATCCCCAACGGTCCCTCTGCTCTGGCAGTCAAGGAAGCAGCCTGGGGTCTGGCTCGCTATGCTGCCATTGCACAGGTAACAATATCATTGCAATTACATACGTAACTTGTAATCATTTAGACTACTTTATTACTTTTTGTTATGTCTGTGGGAGGACTTTTGTATCTCTAAGTACCAGCTCTTGAAGGGAAAGTTATTATTGTTATTGATTTTTTGTTCATGTAATGAATTAGGACAATGGATTGGTCCCAATTGTGGAGCCAGAGATCTTGCTTGACGGTGAGCATAGCATTGACAGGACTTTCGAAGTAGCCCAAAAGGTGTGGGCTGAGGTTTTCTTCTATCTTGCTGAGAACAATGTCCTGTTCGAGGGTATTCTTCTCAAGCCTAGTATGGTTACTCCTGGAGCTGAGTGCAAGGAAAGGGCCACTCCTAAGCAAGTTTCTGACTACACCCTCAAGCTCCTTCATAGGAGAATTCCCCCTTCTGTCCCTGGAATTATGGTATGTTCCTGCCAAAGGCATTGTTATTCTTTATATTATTCCATTTAGACTTCCATATATATCTTACTACAATCGTTCATGTGGTGACCAAAGTTTTGTTGTGCAGTTTTTGTCTGGTGGACAATCTGAGGTTGAAGCAACCTTGAACTTGAATGCTATGAACCAATCTCCAAACCCATGGCACGTTTCATTCTCATATGCGAGAGCACTCCAAAACACCACCTTGAAGACATGGGGAGGACGCCCAGAGAACTTGAAGGCAGCACAAGATGCACTCCTATTCCGTGCCAAGTCCAACTCACTCGCTCAGCTTGGAAAGTACACCGGTGAGGGTGAATCTGAGGAAGCCACCAAGGGAATGTTCGTCAAAGGCTACTCCTACTAAGATGATCTTAGCAGTGAATATGATACATGTTAGGCAGCACCACCAACACCAGTGAAAGAGAACGTGTTTAGTGGTGGATGGAAGACTAGTTCCTCTTAAATGTACTGTGTTATGGTTTATAGTCTTGGACACTATTTTTATTCATGATTACGTCTACCTTTTCAACTGAATGAACTTCTTGTTAATGAATTAAGAGCATTGTACTTGAGCATGTATCATCATACACTAGAATATTTGAACCTCGGCAGTTGATAAAAAATTAAAAACCCAATCTTGCACCACCAACAATAGATTTCCCAAACGGAAAACGGACCAGATCCCATGTGTCATTGTGCTGAAGGCACTTATTTCATCAATCATAGCCTGTCTTCATCCGCAACGTGAAAGTGCTTCACGTGTAATCCTATTGATGGAGATAAAGAAGAAAGACATGCAAAATATGATGAAGATAGACGATTGTAACTAATATTAACTGAATACCTAGCCGGAGGGCGGGTCTCTCGGGTATCTTTTCAGAGAACAATGTGAAGGTCACTAGCAAAAAGTTAGAGCGAAGCCAAGGGAGGAGATGAAGTCAAATGTGAGCTCACAGAAACATCAGATGAAACATGTTGTAAATCATCAAGAGAGTCAAACATAGGGACAGGAAGAGGCGAAAAATATTCAAAGGAGTCCACAGGAGCAGTAGATAAAGTATCGACGTAAAGTCAGAGAGTAGCAACGATAACCCTTTTGAGATCGAGGACAATTCAGCAAAACATACTTATGAGATTAGGAGCTAGTTTATCCAAGCCTGGACCAAGATGATAAACAACATGCATAGAACCAAAGACATGTGAGGTCAAAGGATATAAAGATTGATGAGGGAACAAAATAAAGTGAGGTAACTGGTTATGAAGAACCGAGGAGGGCATGCGATTAATGAGATAGCATGCGGTAAGAATAGCATCACTCCAGAATTTGTAGGGAACATTGCCATCAATTAACAATGCACGAATAGTCTCAACAGGGTGATGATTCTTGTGTTCGGCTACATCATTTTGCTGGGGTGTATGAGGACAAGACTTTTGATGAAAAATTCCATTAGACGAAAAAGATTGCTGAAATTAATGAGATAAACACTCACAAGCATTATCACTACGAGAAGTACGAATATGAATACCAAACTAAGTTTTGATTTCATTATAAAATAACTGAAAAACAGAAAATAACTCAGAACGATTTTTTATTAAAAATAACCAAGTACATATGGAATAATCATCAATAAATGTAACAAAATACTTAAACCCTAAAGTAGAAAGCTGACGACTAGGCCCCCAAATATCAAAGTAGACCATAGAAAAAGGAGACAAAGCTTGACGACTAAGATGACTTGGGAACGTACTACAGGTATGTTTCCCAAATTGACAAGACTCACAATGTAAACTAGAAAGAGACGATAAATAGGGGACCATCTTATGAAGCTTGGCAAGACTTGGATGACCCAAACGAGCATGGATAGTGAGGGGTGAATCCACAGTAAAGCAGGCTGAAGAGGAAAAATTTGATAGAGGCCATGAGACTCACATCCCTTGGTATATCCTTCCTCGAACTCCTATCCTAGAAAATGACTGAAGATTTAGTAAAATAAACCACATAATCAATGGATTTGGTCAAACAGATAATGGAAAGTAAGTAAAAAGGAGAATCTGGAACATAAAGAACATGATCCAGAGATAAATTGGGGAAGAAAAGAACCGCGCCGATCCTACGAGATTGGACCAAAGACCCATTTACCATAGTGGTAGTAGTTAAAGAACTAGTGGTACAAAGAGAGGTGAATAAAGACTTATTACCAGAAATGTGATCAGAAGCCCTATAATCAAGAGTCCAAGGGCCTAGAGATTGTAGATGTGATTGACCCGGTCGAGGCACTGGTCACTAGGTCACTGGTTCAACCAGTGGGTCACTGGTTGAACCGCATGACCCGATAAGTATATGTAAATCTATAATTTATATTAAAAAAATTATAAACATATTCAAATACCTGTAAAAAATGATACAAGTTCCAAATATTCTAATATGAAAATAATAAATTACACCATTGTCCAACAAAAGATCAAACAAACATATAATATTTTCCCTGTCCTTAAAGTAAATGTATAGACTCAAAAATGGCCCCCGATTTGAATTTCCCTATGATATGCAAATCAATTAGATACTTAATCCTTTTAAACAAAATGTATAGAGTCAAAAATGACTAGAAGATGACATTTAATAAGTTGCAGAAATTAAAATATAAGCCTAACTACAGCTACAACTCAACTTCATATGTTAGTATAGATGTCAGCTCAACTTCCAAACCCAAACCTTACTTCGCTGTGCAAACTGAAAAGAAAATATAACATATGATAATTAACATGGCAAGTTAATGGACGAGTATTGATGGAGTTTGCAAGTAAGTGCCAAATAAAATATGGAAGATGAAGGGAAGAGGGACACGATTGTGATAGATGGAAGAGACGAAGTTGAGCAGGTGAAGGGCAAGAGAGAAGGTGAAGGGCATTTGTGAGCGTCTATGTGTCTTCATTCTTCATATTTCAAGGTTCCCCATCGATCCATAAGTCAATAAATTTTCTCTTTATATATCGCCTCTTCCGAACACGTATAAGTTCGCGTGCTTTGCTTTTGTAAGCAGCGAAGTGTCAACATGAATTGTGAAAATTCTGTTTTTTGTGTGAGTTATTCGGTTTGTGGGTTTTAATGAGAACCGTCCGAGTTAAATAGGTTGACCCCAGTTTAGATTCATGTCCGATCTGTTACATAACTCGGCTCGGCTACAAGACTGGTTCGCCATTTTTCAGATTAAACTAACACTGCATAATACCAAAAATAAAGGCAAAAATAAAAAATGACAGATCACAAAACTAACCAGAAGAAGTAGGATCCATGCATCACCAAAAATGATGTCAAAACTCCAAAACAGAACCAGATCCATAATCGTCTCGGAGAGAGAAGAAGAACACAACCAGTCGTCGCCAAAAAATGTCCTTCACACGCAGTCGTTACATTAATGTGCGGGTAAGGGCACGCCCGTGAGCGTATGGAGATGAGACTTGGATGGACAGGATAGCATGGAGGAGACGGTCACAACGATATATGGCATGCTTGGAAAAGTCACCAGAAAATCGTGGTCAATGGAGGAGGAACGACGGTCAACGGCGATTCCGATGGACGTTCGCAAATAGATGATCCTAGAAAGAGAGATTTCCGAAAACTAACAAGAAGATAGTATGCGGAATTGTTTTTGAAAATCCGACGAATAGTGGGTTCACCGGAAAAGGAAAGAAAAACGGATCAAGGTTCCTCTCGTTATGCTTTTGATACCATGTTCAATAACAAGAGATGAAAGGAACATTACAATGAATTGATACAGGAGTGTACAATATATGAAAACACTAATGGGTTTAGCCCAGACCTAACCCAAATTCTAATGAAATAAGAAAAAAGATATTCTTTTCAATAGTTTCAGATAAAGTTGCCTTTTGCAGCCCCAAAACGGAGTCGTTTTGGGGTTAAGGATTAAAAATAAAGGGTATTTTAATAAAGCTCATGATTCAAAGAGGAATGCAAAATTTTCAAGACACCCTTTACTTTTAATCTTATACCCCAAAACGACGTCGTTTTGGAGCGGCAGGAGATAACTTTATCTCTTGTAACAGGAGAAATGCTTTTCCTATATATATATATATATATGATTATAAGTTTCTCTTGCAGACTCATGAAATCGTGGAACCCACCAAATTTAATAAAAAAAGACTGAAATGACGTTTTTTTGTTTGTGCAGGAAGGGACATGAGAAACTCATTCTCTAGTGGTGATTACTATTTACTAGTGAGTGATTACTCATTCCCAGGGGGTAGATCCTTTGACACTGGTGTCAAATTAAAAAATTTGATATCAAATCTTAACCATTGATCATATATATATATATGTGTGTGTGGGTGGGGGAGAGTTATATTTACAAACTTTTTGTTTACAAACTCTTATAAATTACACTATGTACTCCCGGTAGTACACTAAGTTACACTTCCGGAAGTACATAGTGTAATTTGCAAACGTATCTTTCCATATATATATATATATATATATATATATATATATATATATATATATGGACTTTGGAGGCAGTTGAAAACAAAATCCAAATTTCCTCCTGGACAAAATGAAGGACTGGTAGAAACACGAAGAAGACATGCTTAAGAGCGATTATTTCACTTGCAAAGACTTGTAGACGATGACTTGGTACCATGGATTGCAAGAAGAAGCTGAGGAGGGAAAGACATAAAAATTGGAGAAAGGGATATTTCTTCCAAAATGAAGAAATTCAAGAAGCCACGAAGCCTGGAAAGCGTGGTCTTGAAGATTAGATTCTTAAAGAATCTTGAATTTTTATGTACCTTTCCATTTGAATGTCACAGGTCATAGGATATATCCTATTTCTTGTAGTCACCATTCTTCGTGAATATATTGTTCATTGAAAATGAAATAAAGAAGTAAACATCAATTCTGTTTTCATGAAATAAGTAGTTTAAATTATGAAAAGATTGACAATTCCATCAACAAAATGCAAATTAAATTCTACCCTTGCTATTCTTCTAACCTCTAGCAAATAGCAATCTATTAGCATCTATGATGGTCAAGGAACTTGCAAGATTCCATTCCAACCCACGAAAAACAGAAAAGAAAATGAAATTTAGCAAAATGTGAAGTTCATCTCTGTTTCTTCCACTCTGTTCTTTTTTGAACTGTTTGGGTTTGGCTGGGTAGAGCCATTGATGTATCCCTGATGGGGTATAGTATGTTGACATAGGGGTATTCATAGTTGCAATGATAAAGATCAAGGCACCATTGAAGCTTTCCATGATGGTGTATATCAAAGTGGGGAGTGTGTGAGAAAATGACTATGGTGACTTATGATAGATGAGAAGATGCCCTTTCAATTGAAGAAGGGGGTTTAACTCGTCTTCTCCTTCCGCACCTGGATCTGTCCTCACTTTGTTTTTACGACTTCGTTCTGGCTTTCTACAGCGTCTTTTCCCTTGTTGGTTACTGTTCACGCGTGTTTCTTTGCTTTTCGTTGCTGTTCATTTTTTGTTTCAGGTGACCTATGGCTGATTCGTCACTCCACGATGCATCCAAGGGTTCTCAAAAGAATGACACGCCTAT